GGGTCAAACTTGATAAGATTACAATGTGTAAGAAAGCGGTGAGAATACGGTACGGTATTATACCTGTCAGATACAGATTTTAACTCAATATAATCCTAACTAGACCCTTTAACACCATAACAATACGTCTCTTCTAGTCTTCTATACCTACAAAATGTCGCATACAAATCTTAAATTATTGTCCTTTTATGTTTTTCTTTTTTCAGTCTTTGATTTAAGAACTGTAAATTACATAACTGGGTTTTTGTCTAAATCTAAAGCTTGGAATAAATATATAATTGTATGCAATTTAGAATCTACATGTTTATAAGGTGATTGTATTCAGGTTTTGTTACGATCTTTTATTTCACAATAATAACAATCTTCAACGTCTAACCAGGGTCGGATTAAGCCCTGTGTAAATATCACTGGGGCCTTTGCATCAACAGTGAAAAGGGGGCTATTTCAGGCCATTGTCCGCGACATTCAAACAAATGCAATTTATGTGACAATATAACATCTCTGGTCACATATTTGGGTATTATCGGAAAGGGTTCCAGTTCAGTTGTTAGGATAAGGTTCTTGTTTTGTAAATTTAGATACAAAATTTTAATAAAATATTCTCATAAGAACAGTCTCGTGCGCAACACTTTAAAAAGCCAACAGTGTGTGATTGTGTTGGTAGGGGGTGGGGATGGATGGTTGGACATGATGTCCTAAGCCGACGATATAAGATAACACAGGAGCCAATGGACACTAGCAGATTTTTTTAATTCTTTTCAAGGCTTGGCACCAGAAAGCTCCACAGCTCTTGGTTTATTTGATATTTGGAAATTTAATGGAAGTTTTCTTCCAGTTATTACATCCAGGTATCACCTGAAATGGATTCCTATATTTTACAAAGAAGCCAAAGACCTTTATATTGACCGGCAAAATGTTATATCGACCTACTTTATTGACCCGTGGTATGTTGTCTATTGACCTCTATAATATAATATTGACGTAGAGATTAGTCTGTTCGCCTCCCATCGACTATATATCTGTCTATATAATCTGTGATATAGTAAGTAAATTATTACTGTGGCGGTTAGAGTTGTTAACACCCAGTCACTAACAGTTGACAATATTGACAAACCAGTACAAGTCAAATGTTAACAAAAATCACACAGGATTCTTATTCTCATAATGTACTACTAGTCTGTATTTTAGACTGTGGGTCATGCTAATGTTGTGTCTCATATGTCTTTAGTAATCTTTTCCATTTTGGTTTGAGTCTATCAGCTGCGGGAGTACAATGTGTATATATATATATATATATATATGTTCCCCTCAATTTGACTGGAGATCTCCGTTGGAGTAAAAAAAAAACCCCACTTATGTGGATACTCTGAATCGTGGGAGGAAAGGTGAAATTCAAGATGGCCGCCATCCCACCATCTGGCGTCAAAGAATAAAGCACACGACCGCTACACTTTTCTCATAAAAAGTGTTGTTTTACAATTTTTTTATGTAGCTGAACAGCCCCCCGCCCCTGATAATTTGGGAGAGACAAAAGTTATAACGTTCTGACGTGAGGCTCGGGTAGTTTTGACACACTTACATCCCCTTCTACTCGTTGCCACTGGCAACCTTTGATAAAACTGTCCTGTTTAATTGCAATACATGCCTAAAAGTATCCGTGTATCAGAGCTGTACAGAAAGAGTACTATTCATTTCTGATACACGGATACTTTTATACCGTTTGAAATACCTATCAAGCAATAAGTAGCGGACGTTTAGTCCTACCCAGATCGCAATTGATAACGACGGCTCTATGCAATGTACATGAAACAACTAGTCAAATTCATAGTAACAAAACAAAATGGGGGGAAGTACATGGCAGTTAAAAAACATATACAATGACATTAAATTAACATAACAACATATTACAAAAATCAATTATTATACATACCAATTGGCATCTATTTCATAATTTGGTTTGATTTATATTAATATGCAAAATATATAAATTAGAATATTGAATAATTATTTTAATTAATTGTAATGATAGAAGGCGGAGTTCTCTTGCTGGACACTTCACAGGCATTGAAAATAAGCAGGATGAAAAAAAAACGCCTAGAAAGTCATAAACTTTATTACAAATAAATTTCAACGGAAGAACAATCCGCCGATGCATACTTTCACCAGGAATGACCCACGTTTCGCATTTCCTTTACACTACATTTAATAATATCGCAGTCCTCTACGCCATAGACAAGTTGTTCTGGCGATGCGGTCTAAACAAACACGTGATTGTTTTACGCTTAGAGTATCATAGCAAGACGCACGTGTAAATACTACTCAGGACGTCTCTCCACTGCGAAATCATTCTACCATGAAATGTAACGTGAGGCTCAGAAAGGGATAAATAATGAAAGAACAGAAAGTATTTGTCACTTTTCGGTTGAAACGACTCGATAATAAATACTATTTTTCACATTTTGCTTCACAATACTCGATAGAAATGTGATGTAAGTAACTTATTAGCACCTTTCCTCGGTGTATCGGTGAATATCAGGACAGTTTTGGTCGGGAGCCGCCTCGGCTGGGCCCCTCGACCAAAACTGTCCTGATATTCACCGATAGTGGCGCAATTCGTCATAATACAAAGTTAAGGATCTGTTCCGTTCTAGCATGACAACTAATCGCGTATCTATATGACGGAAATATGACTTTTCAATCTTACAGAGATGAGTATCATTCATTGTTGACAAACGTACTGCACTACAATATCCGCTACTAAACTATGAATAAGTTAGCTGTATCCGTTTTTAAATGTGTTGAAAGGATATGTACTGAAGAGATAAGGTTACATCAGGAAGCCACAATTCACTTTACTATGGGCGGATTCCACTTTTATTACATCTTCTTTTCTTTTTAGGGGACTATTGAAATGCATACTTATAAATGTAGGTGTACACTTGGTATTTAATAAAGCGCTTTGAAACAGTATTTCAAATATTAAAGGGGCATTATGTAAGATTTAGATAAAGAGCCGCACGTTCTCGCTATAATATTTCTAAAGTAGATAATGCAAAATGAGTATATTGAAAATTTACTTCAAATTACTTTGAGTGAAATTTTCGATGGTTGTAGTCTGGACAAGACGTGTGCATTGATCGTAACCATCATACTGTTCATTCGAGTCTTAGCCCGGCTTCTCCGATTTTAAATTAAATCATTACATGGCCGAACTGTTCTAATCTACTTAAAATCGGAGCAATCCGATGGCGTATGGAGTTGATTATGGTCTTGTCATGTTAATAATTAATGTTTAATTAATAATTTATATAACATTTAAGGCCCCAAAATAGACCTGCAATATGCAGATTCAGCTCTTACATAATGCCTGTTTAAAAGACAATAGCTGTTTAGTTTTAGTTGGAGAAATATTCGCTCAAGGAAAACCTGAAGCGTAAATGGGAGTGAAACATGTAATTTAACTTCATGGCGAGCAGTGGTTGTTTATAACTTGTAAATTTAATCGATTATTTTTTTCTGCCTGGACCAATGCTGCCCAATGACTTATTATCTCGTTTATTTAGTTCGGTGCTTCCCCACCTGTTTGACCAGTGGTCCCTCATTCAATACTCGAAGACCATTCAACTGGAAAACGGCACTTCAGGCCCGTAGCTAGCCCAAAAATGTTTGGGGCGTGGGCAAGGGCTTCTGGGGGCGCAGATGGGGCTTCTTGGGGCACCGATGTACCAGCACTTGACGGTTCACGGCGAACGGCACCGAGGAAATGCTCCCCCGCCCCCACCCCAGTAAATATTTGAAAATAGGGTTTGCACCTGTGAAAATGACCCAAAAAATTTAATGTTAAGGCTGAATTTGGGATATTTGCGTGTTATGATCTTTTGATATAAACACTATAAAAATTTAAAGGAAGGAATACGACTTTAGCTACCTATAAAAATTTATGGAAAAATCGAAATGTTTGGAATCGGGTTGAATTTTGAAGATTATCACGCCGGGCGTGGGCTTGAATCAATCTCTTCCCCATCGTGAATTTGACCTGGAAAATGTCCTACAATCTGGTAGATTTCGTCGTGGGCGGCCCACCAATCTCGGCATTATGGGGGCGCCCCTCCGGGATGAGGCACCTCAGCAACCATGCCGTTTTGGGCTCCCCATTGATCAAGTCGTGAGTGCTCAACCAGCCTCACTCGGCATTATCCATTATGTGCGACCCAACAATCATGTATTGTCATTATAAGGCACCCCATCAATCATCTCATTATGAGTGCCCCTTTGGGATAAAGCACCCCACAGATCACGCCGTTTTGGGCGGCCCATCAATCAATGTCGCTTGGTTTTATGAGTGCCTCACCATTTGGGGGCGCCTCATATATACCGACATGATTGACGAGGCGCCCATAACACCAAGTGACAATGGTTGGGCGCCCCGCCAATCTCGTCGTGGGCGCCCAACTAATGTCACTCGCCTTTATGGGGCGCCCATACTGATATGGGCACGTTGATCGTTGGCTTCGTATTGCGTCCAATGGCAAGGGCGGCTTAGGCGTCTATTGGGGGATCCGATTTCATGCAAGGGAACTACCAGTCTTGCCTACCCCCCCCCCCCCACGCTAGCTACGAGCCTAGACTTGGCATAAGGCAACAGAAGTGACAGTCCATACGAAATCCCCCCCCCCCTTCCTTGATGAGCCATTCCTCCCCAATTCCCCTTGCCTCCCTAAAACTTTACGATCCCGCTCAGGGAAACACTGATCTCGTACAAATGTTTGAACAGAAACGATATTGCAACTGCAAAATTTAACTTTCATTTATTTCTTGTTATTCCCACAAAGTACAACATATGAGATTCGCTATTTTTTATTACCAAGACAGCAGTACTATTGCATATTATATTATCTAGTTGATATTGGCAATGTCATTATGACTTTATTAATTTCAATTAATTTTGAAACCCGCCAATTTGACTCATCGTGTATCCGTGCAGTACAACAGAGGTCAAAGTTTAATATATATTAGAGAATACGATATTTGATATTAAATAGTTAATAAAGTCAGTATACATCCTGAATTATCATCTATCAAGATGGCGAAAATTGGATTTATATTTATTATCTCTCTTGTAATGGGCACAGTCTGCGGTAAGATTAAAAACATTTATTCCTATTTAACAGCCATTTTTACAACTTATGTTATTGAGATCACATATAATTTTGAATGATCGGAATACAATTCGGTACGTATCCTATTCTAAAATATATGACAACATGACTTTTTCCCTTGATGGCTCTTATTTAACCCTATGTATTCAATTGATACCCTATGTATTGATACCCTATGTATTCAATTGATACCCTGTGTTCATCAAAAAACACATGTGGTATATATGATAATAACTAGTGAAATTTGCCCTATTTAACCCTTTCTATTCATTTGTTAATTAAAGTGCGCAGAAGCCACCATATATAATGGTATAAATCTACCAGGGGAATATTACTGTTAGGATTCTTATTTAAACCCTTCTATTCAATTGATAATTAAAGTGCACAGAAACCACATGTGGTATAAATAACAATAACCAGGAGAATATCGGGAAGAAAATTACCGTTATGATTCTTCTTTAACCCTTTTCTATTCATTAAAACTTTCATAATAAAAGTGCACCGAAGCGACATTTGGTGTGGTATAAATAATAATAATCAGGGGAATATTTAGTGTGGTGTATAGCCGGGGATTTTTTTTATCGCCAATTAACCCTTCCTATTAACCCTTAACAATTAAAGTTCGCCGAAACCACATCTAGTATGTTATAATTTCTCTGACTGTTAGCTATAAATCCTGCGGTTGCTATAATATTCTGTCGTTGAAAGCAGTAATTTATTTCTAATCCGGAATACGCCACTTACACTACACCAAAGCGGATATTTTTTACAAATTGACTGATAGGCCACAAATTTGATCCACCTTAATCATCCAAAAACTGGCGGGTGAAGATAATAGGGATTATCCCTACCCTAAAACAATTTGACCAACCATTTAGGGATTATTTGTCAACTAGTTACCTCGGGAAATAGGACGAGCAACTTATAGAGACAGCTTTTTGATCCAGGGGATATGCTAGAATGCACCACATCGCATCTGATCTTTCACCCCCCCCCCTCCCTCCAAAACCCCATAAAAATAAACAAACACCCCCAACACATGCAGTTCCAGTTTTCACTGAGGGTCCACCACATTCTTTTTAAAATGCCTTGCCATATCCCCCGTTTATTTTTTCTAGCAATGTAACCCCTTGTATATATATATATTTAATTGGATAAGAAAGAATTCTGGTCATGTTAGAGAACGTTTGTAGTCTGTTCAGAAATATATTTTGAATGTCTTGACCTTGACAGCAGGTACTTTTATGCAGACTGTAACACGTGATCCACACGAGGGTTGTTTCAATATGTATTAGTTTTTTTTGTTGAAATAGACCCAACAATTCTAATGTTATTTCCGTGGTGAGAATCAGACAGTTAAATAAAGTGTTTAAACTAAGTAGGTGTATGTGGATCCAAGGCACATAAAACAGACGTCAAATTTAAATTACAACACGATAAGCGCTTCAGTATCCCTTTCTATGATTAATCGTCCTATTGCATTGACTATAAATATTCATGGTGGAGCGAGAGAGAGAGCGACACAAACTATGTCATTTCGGGAATAACACATGGTTCAAGTTTATTTTAATAATTCGCTTGCGCGTAGGGGTCTTTAGCAGTGGGAGGAATCCGCAGGACCCGAAGAAAACCCACGAGGTTAGACAGTCGACCCTACTCCTTGTCACGTACAACCGGGGACATATTTTTGAACTATTAATTCTAACATAATGCATCTTAACAACGTGAGAAAGGTAAGCCCATCAAAACTCAATAGATATTTATTTTGACCTGATGGCTGCCTTGCAAATTCCTTTAAAATGAACTGATGGGTTTGAGTAAACTCAATAGATATTTATTTTGCACTGATGACTGCCTTGCAAATTCCTTTAAAATGAACTGTTGGGTTTGAGAAAAAAATAAGTTTTGATTAAATTGAATTTTTTATTTTTATTTGTTGTCTTGGCAAAAATAAATTTTGATTTGATTTAATTAAATTTAATGCCTTAAATTGTTTTGTGATGTGTGTACAGTGTCTGATTTAGGCGGCCTCTGTCGCCAGCTTCTATTGCATGCACTTATAGTCTTAAACACCCTGCATCACCCTCAGCTTTACACAATTGTATTTTAAACACACTTCATATCCCTCTAGTCGTAATGATGGGGGTGCTGGGGGGGGGGGGGGCATGCGTGCGGGGAGTGAGGGGGGTGTAAGTAAAATAAAAAACCAACACTGTGTGTATATTTGTCTACAGTTAACCTTTTATATCCACAGATAGAAGAGCAAATATTGAAATATAATTAATAGTTAGGTTATTTCCACACCCTTTACTTAATTATCATCTCATTAAAATAACGCCAAAAGTATAATTATAGTTCTAATTGCCTAATCAGTTCTAAATAAATCAAACAAGTTTAAAAATTATTAAAAGGCATCAATACTGTGTCTGTCGTTGATATCTTAGGGATTGCATTATTCACACATTGCATTATTGCAAAGGTACGGTATAATGGTCTTTACGTTCAAATCTCTAAATTTTCATCTACAGAATAATCTTCGCTTAAAGTATCTCGAAAAATGGAATGAAATGAAATGGGGTTTAACGTCCCACTGTTCTGCTGCGACTGGGCTAATGAAGACAGCCATACGCCATACAGTGTGCTATGAGGGACAGCGGCGCTACGTGCACGCCAATGTGTAACCGGGACCTCGGTTTTCGTGCCATCCGAAAAACTAGACAGGTGTTTTTGTCAGGCCCTTCGTCCTACACCACTGACAAGGGGAAGCCACGACGGAAAATCCGATGAACTTTCTCAACCAACACCGGGTGCGAACCTGCGACCTCCAGGCTAGCAAGTCAGTCTTACCCACCGGGCTCCAGAAGTATCTCGAACGGTTTGGATATGTTTTTCAGCCGACTGTTACCATTTATTAGGATCGACATCTTTAGGGACAAAAGAAACCCACAGATCTTTCTAAATGAAAATTAGATCGAATAGTTGTTCCATCAATAATTAGAGTAACGCACCAGATTATCCCAATTTAAAGTAACCATGCGTGGTTTGCATTTTTTCGAAATTAAAAAAAAAATGTCCCGGTTTGGATTCAATCGGATTTAAAAACTGACCCACCAATAGATTGACGGCAACTAAAGATAGCGACGCTCTTGTTACATAGGGAGCAGCATGAACTGATAGATTTTTTTCGACTGATATTCCAATTGCTATTAAAGATTAAGCTGTCACAATATTCAAGTTTTGGGTTCTATGGCGCTAAAATCACGCATAATATAATATCCATTAAAACCATCGTCCTGTTTTTATTCCCATCACTAATGTACGCAATTCTTTTTCAGGTTACAGAAGTAATCAGAATTTTTCTCAACCAGAAGTGATAACAACTCCAAATTTCCCATTGCCCTATCCGTCTGACGCGAGTTTAAGTTGGGCGTGGTCTAAGCCGACAGGAAGATGGGCGGTTTTGTTTGAAGAATTTGACATACATTGTATGGATACATTATACCTGAAAGACGACTCAGCGTAAGTTTATATTTTAAAACTGCTTGTTATTTGTGTCATGGATTAGTCGGGGTATGCTTACTCTTTATAATGTTAATAATAAAAGATGAGCTGTAACCAAAGACAAAGAGTGGACTTTCCTAAAGGAAATCGTCAAAATACTAACACCCAATTGTAATGGCCTAGTGATATCTTTTGGATTTTCTAGCGAGGTTACCTCGTGTTAGAGGTGCATGACGGAGTGTCTGCAATCAGGGGCGGAATAAGGGATCGACTGCTGTAGGCGGCACGTTCCGAACGGCCAAGTCACGGGGGTTCGAAGGACTTCTCAGAGAAAATTTTGAAATTTACATTGCCGGAGTGCGGATTTAGATACATACTGGAACCGATGAATTCGTTCCCCATATCTAGCCAAAAACAAATGAAATTGGGTTTAACATTCTGTTCTTCTACAAAAACTGGATATACGGACGGGCAATGTGCCAAGACGGAACATCGTTTCTGCCTACTCGTCTTTGAGATCCTGATGTTCAGCTTGGAAGTTCCTCGGAATTTTCCGGTTAGGTTTCCAGTTGTCAGTGGCGCGTATAGTCGTATGGATGGGACGTAAAACCGAGGCGTGCACGTGGAATTTGCCGTATCACAGTTTATTAACAAAGTTGGTTTAGAAAAGTAAGACATTAACCCCATGGACATCTTGATAGTACTATAAGCATCTGACATTTCCGTGTGGCAAAGCATCTTAAACAGAATATGGGAAGCTTATTCAAACCGTACATTAAATTTTCACGGCTTTCCTGAACTCATTACTGATATGGATTTATAAGCATTTTTGGATTTAACGTCCTACTTTTCTACTTCGACTGGACTATTGAAGATCGGCATACGCCATTCAGTGTGCTACGAGGTCAATTTTGCACGGACAGTGGCACTACGGCATCTCTTGTATGAAATTTCAACTGTCAACGGTTCTTAGAGTTAAACGTCAATGTGTACACGGGACCTTCTCTTATATCTATTCCAGCTGCCACGGGATATTTTACGTCCATTTGTACACGAAAGACTGTACGTTGTCCCTTATTGCCAGGCCCTCTGGCGGTGGTTCAGTGGGTAAGGCGCTGACTCGCTAACAGGTCCGGGGTTAAATCCCGGTGTTGACCGAGAAAGTTCTCCATGATTTTCCAGTACAGTTTCCTCTTGTGCATGGCGGAGGACACAGGACGTCCAGTCGTTCGGATGATATAAAAAAAAGGGTTCCGTGTAACGGTTGGAATTCGATATAAGAATAGGCCGTAGCCCTCATAGCCCACTCACTACACTACATATATTTCATATATGGCCGTCGTCATTAGCCCAGTCGGTGCATATAAGTAGGGCGTTAATCCCAATTTCATTTCGTTTCTAGTACTTATTACAGGAACCATATAAGATACGGATATAACAAGTAGTAGATATAATCTTATTTACTCACTTGATATCCGAATAAGCCGTATCTCATATATTTCATAAGTAAAGTCCGTCCTTGTTAACGGGAAAGCGGCATCGTTAGGATTCCAAGCAGTTTCCGTGAACTTAATTCAAACGGTTCTGTTCATGGGCTTTGGTAAACCGTCCTGCAACACTGACAAGGGGTAGCCACGCCGGTACAAAATTTTTTCCGGCAACAACGGGATCGAACACAGGACATCCAGGTTAGGGAGCCAATGTCTTACTAACCGAACCACCGCGGCTCCTCAGTGATGTGCTATTTCCACTAGAGCGGGGAATAAAAAAATAAGAATAGGCCGTACGCTGCTGCCCGAGCAAACTTTTTCCCCGTAGCACACTGCATGATTCATGCTCGTCTTCATTGTCCCAGTTAGTAGAAAAGGGTAGACGTTAAACCAAATTTCATTTCTTTGACTAGACTACGGTTTTATATTTTGTTTGAAAATATAACTAAGTTGTTAAAAGGAAGAACTCGTATCAATTTTAAAAAACTTCTGGATGACATTTATGCTGTTTAACATTAAATCGTGCTAGCTTTCTATGAGATCTATAGATTATTGAAAGGAAGAATAGCTTTAAATTCCACAACAAACATCTAATTTATTTTGTTTGTGCAGCTATGTATTTGTGGCAATTTTTGGATCAGGCACGTTACTCTCTTGTTGTTGTTGTTCTTCTTCTTTTTTGCCGGGCGACGCTCTTTCAAAAAAAAAAAAAAAAAAAAAAGCCCAAGGCTCAGCCAATTCACGTACGTTATACGATCGACATGGAACTTGGCATGCTTGCTCCTTGGAAAATTGCGCTTTGATTTTTTATATAATGTCAGAATACCAAGACGAATGCGATTTGTCATAATTTGTTTCTGGTACACAGTGCGTTTATATTTGTTTTATTGTTAGCCACAAAATTGTTGGCTTGGTAGCCTAGACCTATGCTATAAAATACAAACTAATTGGCTAATAAGTATACCTCTTAAGATCTTAATATTCATTTAGTGGTATTTAGTAACTGGGTAGAATAATAAACTATAACACATACTTATGGAAAACAGTTACTTATTTATTTGGGCGACGTTTCGATCTTTAGACAAACTATAATTTGTTTGAAATATTTATTTCCTACAGCTTCGTTTTATTTGCACTTTCAGTGGTAAACAACTACCCTTTGACTGTAATCAAAAGCTAACAAAGACAAGAGCTTATTATACTAAAGGATCGAGTCTTATAATACGATTTACTTCATCTCATGAGTCTGAAGCCCGGAAAGGATTCAAAATAAGGGTCTTGTATGGCAGAGATAAAGGTGAGGACATTTTACAAAAATATTCAATGATATATATTGCAGTTCCTTTATTAACCAAACACATCCTCCCACTCATCCATTCATGAATTTGGCCTGATAACGTTTCTCGTATTCCAGGCATGATATAGCCCGGTTCAATACAGATTGGTCTCTCATTTCGAAAATCATCCGACTGGAGACAACCTTTACTGCCTGAATTTATCATTTTTTTCCCATTTAATATTAGCTATATCGCTACGCATCAGAAGTACTAGAGAACACCTAACTGCTGACGAGTACAATACCATAAAACAACGCCTCGTGCATTTACATATGCATACAAACCTTGATATGTATTTTGTAATATACTTAAAGGAGCAAAACCGTTTTGATTTAAGTCAAAATAAAGTATTAAATTAAATTAAATTGGATTAATGTCACTATTCTGCGTAACCCCTTACGTCACCTGGTGTAGTAAATGTGCACTTCGTGAGACCCAGGTAGCGCACGGCGTGTGTCGGTAGGAGAAGAGAAAGGGGCATCATTCGTTTGTGGAGGTTACCGTCCACTTTCACCTACGATATCGTCGACGAAAACTTGCATGGAGAGCCGAATGGTTAGCGCGTGCGGGTTGTATCATAAGGTCTGTCATTAGGTCAACTGGCGTGGTTTCGATTCCCCGGTTGTACATGACAAGGAGTAAGGTCGCCAGTCCAACCTCGTGGGTTTTCTCCGGTTTCATCCGACTGCTAAAGATCCCTACGCGCAAGCGAATTATTGAAAGAAAACACTGAACCGAAATGAACTAGTTTCTATCGAGTGGACGTTAAATCCCATCTCTCTCTCTCTCTCTCGTCATTAAAGCTTCCTGTGAAACACAAATCCACCTGTAAAATTCAGTGGTATTGATTGTTTTGTAATTGTGGTTGTTTTGAACTTACGAACTTACAGATGTTTTATCTTTACAGATGATCTGAAAAGTCAAGTTTATGAACTTAAAAACGGAAATAAAGACGGCGGTAAGTTTCAATTGGTTGTTACATTTGGAAATGTCCCATAATCTCTGACGTTCATGCATTGGTTTTAATCAGACATAAAACCAGTGTGGCATCGGAATGTCTCATTTGCTCAGATGTTGGGATGCGTTGATAATTTACGTGATCACAACTAAGTCAGCAACTAGGTGACCTTGATTCAAACTCAAGCGGCTGAGTGGTCTCGTGCGCTTTAGCCGCTTTAGGTTTGCCATTGGGTCAAGTGGCGTGGTTACGTTACCCATGTTTGTACGCGACAAGGAGCGAGGTTGCCTGCCTAACCTCCTAGGGTTTTTTTTGCGAATCCTTCACTTAGGTCCCATTGATAAAGACCCCTATGTGCAAGCAAAGTATTGAAATAAAATTGTAACACGTAATCACCTGGTTATTGTCGTGATATAAGAAATAGTTTAGGTTGGGCATACAAATTTTGGTTCCATACATTGCTTGAAATGAGAAGGGAAACAACTCTATAATAAATATTTTCTTTCAGACGGTGATCACGTTTACACCCTCCTTTATGTGATGTTGGCTCTGGTCGTCTTAATAATTGTTGGCATGGTAGTATCAGTAATTATCATCAAGCGACGAAAGAGACCAGGTAATCAAACCGTGACCGTTTCCGTCGCAACAAACCATGTAAGGAAGGGTTCTGGCGTGTCTTACAAACGCTCCGCGTCGACGTCGGATTCAATGGATACAACTACCACTACAACAGAAGTCGAGATTTGTCGAAGTAAAGTGCAACGAACACCCAGCCAAAGGTCATGGACAACGAGAGCAACATTGACCAATACACAAAATGGTGTTGTTGATAATGTGTACTCACCGATGGAAAACATGGCGCATTATCAGAATCAGATTAATCGACCTTTATCACCGGTACTTGAGTACGACCCTCTTAGTAAACCGGTGCCTAGCTCTGTCCGTCACCCCACTACAATATCTGGCTACGAATCTCCTGTCATAAATGTCTCAAAATAGGTTCTTTAAAACCGTAATCCACATACAACAACTGCACCGCTTTTAAAGATGCATAGTCTATGTAATTTTCCAAACCTATGTCTGGGTTCTTGACAATATTGCCTAACTCTCGTAGCGCTGAACAAAGTTGTAATTTAACATGCACATAAAACTGGCGTAAATCCTAGTTGTTGTCTAGGGCGAACTGTTAGTTACTGGAATCTGCTACCAATATACCGATATAGGCAAAGTCTTAGGCTATAGTTGTACACAAGATAGAAGAACGGATACTACTTTGCTTTTGGAACGTCCGTCGACTTGACGAGTTTCAGTGGATTACACTGATTTTTCATTTTATATTTTTGAACATAAATGATTTCCCATTCAAGAAGCAATATTGTTATATATAGAGGATATTTGTCGTTTACGCATTCGTGAAAATATAAGTTTTCTTGCTTCTCGATGAAATAAAATATGTTATTCACGACAAAACGACAAATGTTCTATATATTTTATGATTTTACAATCATTTTAGGTAAAAACAACATGGACTACAGCTAGCCAGTGGAATAACACTTTTATTTCACTGATAAAACGCGGTATTCCACTACTGATCATAAAATAAATATTAATATTTGTGACTGTGGTTTGTTTGTTTGTCTGTCTGTCTGTTCGGGATTGGCGGCTATACTAGGGCTGTCCCGAGGCTGAAATTTGGTGCAGAGGGGTAGGGTAGCTCGGACGGGGAGTAATATAGCCTACAGGTCAGTTTGCGATAGCCTACCACCTCCGGTTAGGGAGTTATAACCCCTGAGCGAAGCCGGGCATTCTTCTGGTTAATTCATAAATACGAACGACGCCAAATCGGTACACGGAATTAAAACACGTATGTTTGAAAACTCTAATTTTTAAATTCGTTTGTGTACAGCAAATAACTTTAATGGACGTTAAATTCATAAATATACGTTCTGATTTATTGTATTGATAATGATAAAAAAATATGCTCAGTCTATGAGTTTGTTTATTTTATACGATAAGGTTGATTTTGTTGTTTTGTTTTTTTAATTCTGTTGATTTGGTCAATTTTATAATTGTATACATGAGCACCGCATAAGTATTTTTGTTTATGAAATATCTGTTTTTCAAATATATTTTCTAATAAAAAAAAACCCCTCTTGAACGTGCTTGTGTGATTTATTACTTTTATAAGAGCTAAAATCAACAATATTCCAAATGGGTCTCAATGTTGTTAAGACAATGAATTCAGGGGTCAAAGTTAAAATGTCTCTGTCATAACTACAAATTAAACAATCTCTTTTTACTTCCCACCCATCACACTAATATTTCTTGAAATTGATACACTCATAGTATACGTTACCTCTGGGAAGTCTGGCCTGATTTGAAATATTTAATACGAAATGAAATGGGGTTTAGCTTCCTACTGTTCCTCACCGACAGCGGCATTACGGCCTATTTTAATATCGAATTCCAATTATATTGTCAAGCGTTCATTATACGTGCACGCCAATATTTACACCGGACCTCGGTTTTTCGTCCCATCCGAACGACTATGCTAATTTGTCCCTTGCCAGACCCCCAGTTCTGCAACACCCGGTGAACACAGGGATGGAACATCCAACCTCCAGGTCAGCGAGCCAGCATCTTACTTGGCCATCGTGGCTCCATATTTGATACGTAGTAAATATAGATCGGCCTACAATTTATAAATTGATCATAGTTTTAAAGCACAAGCGAAGTTGCGTTTTGTGTAATCCATATGGCGGGGGCGTAATTTGTGTTGGATTGCCATTCACAGGCGTACGAGTCGGGGGGGGGGGATTTATATAAACTTTGTCTCTGTTCCCAATCCCCTCAATTTCTGAATATTGTTTATATAACAAAAAATAAAAAAAAAAAATTTAAGGCGATCATCAAATTTTTCGGGAAGTTGCCGAATGATGAAAAAAATAAATTATAGTGCATATAAGGGGAAAAATATGTAAATAATTCCTTCCCGTAAAATGAAGTTCCCGAAATCCGGGGCTTTTACTGGGGTGGGGTGATGCAATTCCAAACTGGGGTTCAGAGTTTTAGAAAATCACACAACTCTGATTTTGATTCGGGGTGTCTAGTTCTCATACTCAAAATGCAGTTCCAGAAACTTCGCTCCACTAGTCGCTACTTGCCGTTATTTTTCGAGATTTTACGACGGTTATTTTGTGACGAATCCCGCGTCTATGACTGAAGTTTTTACCATCAGCTGATTCATTTTTTTGAACGATGCCGAATTTGATTTTATGAACTGCATGCAATTCGCATTTTGTTCTTTGTTCTGTTGTCAAGTGGATTTCCGATATAATTGCATACCTATAAATGACTGATTGATTTTTTTGCAATATTAGCAAGATTCGATTGCAGACGGTGACTTAGAAGATTTCAGCACAGAGAAAGCGTCCATGTCGACATCAAGATGTATGTAACTTATGCAAAAAAATAAAAAAGAGGTGGATTCTGATTATTAAGCACAAGGGCACTGAAGTGGAATTTTCCCCAGTAATAGAATTATCAAAATGAAATGGGGTTTAAAAGAACCAATCCAAAAGTAAGGTTAAAGTACTTTCTGTTAATTTTAAGTCGCCATCTTTATTGATACAGAACGCATTAAATGATAATTTATTTCTATCCATGAACATCGAGCTGAAGATGTTATCTAAATAATCTAACCTAGGTTTGGAGAGAGAGAGAGAGAGAGAAATGGGGTTTAACGTCCCCTCGACACAACTATGTCATTTCGGGACTAACATATGGTTTAATTTTATTTCAATAATTCGCTTGCGCATAGGGGTCTTTAGCAGTGGGAGGAAACTGGAGGACCCGGAGAAAACCCACGAGGTTGGACAGGCGACCCTACTCCTTGTCACGTACAACCGGGGATTCGAAACCACGCCAGTCGACTCAATGACAGACTTTATGATATAGCGCACGCACGCTAACCATTCAGCCATCCACCCCCCCCCCCCCCCACCTAGGTTTGGTGTTTTAATCTAAATTACTATATCACATAAAAAAGAAAAAAAAAATGACCTAGAATTATGTATTTTGGTTTAATTTGCTGCTGAACTCAATAGAATAAAATATTATTTCTTTAAAACTTTAGGGCGGGAGGGGGGGGGGGGGTGACGAATGGTTCACTGTCTCATAAGGTCTGTCATTGTTTTTCAACAAATTTCAAAAGAAACTATTATGTTCTTATATTTCACCGATTTTTGCATCCTCTGATACATTCAAATTAGTCATGGATTATAAATCTATAATTTATTTGGTATTAACAAAGATCAAAATACATACAGTTAATAAAGAAAAATCTGCTCGGTTAAAGATACATTATGTTAGATTTATATAAGAGGTTCTCGCTATAATAGTTTAAAAATAGATAATGAAAAATGAATATGTTTAAAACTTCAGTTAAATTATTTCATTCTGAACGGTGTTACGACCGTTTGAATAACAGTGTAGTCTCGATTGTCATTGCTATCGTTATTATATGATAATAACAATATAGTCTCAATTATCCACTTTAATTAAATATTAACTGGCAATGTTACTGAGAATTGTTTATGTCTTTATTAATAATTTATATAAGATTTGGTTCCAAATATTTGGACAGATTTGGCTCTTACATAATGCGTCTGTAACAAAATACTAGTGAGTAAATAATTCTTATTATAGGCCTGCAGCCAAAATTTCTAGCGTGAAGTTCCGCTACATGGTCCTCCCAAAAAAACAAACTATGCATTTTTGGAAAGCTTATAACACCAGGAAAACAAATCAAGAGAGTTCCAAGCAAAAAGTTTGCACTAACTCGATTTAGGGCCAGGTGAAAATTGTGATATATGCTATATGTATACTAATAATTGTGAAGTTGACATAAAATTAAATATTGGTGTAAACACCTGATGCCTTCATACTATGCAAAGAATATGCTATTGGTTAAATTTTGATTTAAAGCAAAATGCAGAAATCATAAAGAACAGGGGAACATACAGAATTTCGTAAATCCATTTAATGGTAAAAGGAGTTATCTCCCTTTATGGAAAATATCAATAATCATTGATAACAGTATTTTGTTTAAAGAATTTATTTGATAAACTGAATAGGATTTAACTACAGACTAGGGCGTATATAAGTTTAATTATTTTTTTCAGATAGGATTTGAGGCTAAAGGTCTAACAAATATTTAACCTGAAACATAGCATCTACAGATATTTAGTTTTCTCACTAAAATAGATATGGCCAAAACTAAATAATACTGTAAAGGGAGTGACAATATTGTAATGAAGAGAAAAAAATCAAATGGAGTTTAATGTCTTACTGTTCTGCACCAACCCATATAATGAAGATGAGCATACGTCATACATGATAGTTGGGGAGGGGGCATTGTACGTGTACAGCTAGTATGTACATGTCATCATCAGTGTGCAAGGGAGCCGCGGTGACTCAGTAAAGGGCTGGCTCACTTATCGGGCGGCCCAGGGTTTGATCCTAGTCTGGCGTGGTTCCCCGTTGTCCGTGGCTCACTAATCAGGAGATCCGGGGTTTGATCCCCGTGTTGACCTAAATAGTTCCCCAAACTTTCCAGCTTTGTTTCACCTTGTCAGTTGTGCAGGAAGTAGGGTGGGGGCTGTGATGGGCAGCGTCTAGTTATTTGGATGGAATATATAACTGAGGTCCCGTGCACACGTTGGCGTGCACGTAAAAAAACCCTTTAAATTCAAAATAAAGTGTAGACCGTAACGTTGCTGTTTGGACAAAATTCCCCCTACAGCATAATGTATGGCGGGCGTATATACATCTTCAGTATCCCGGTTGATACTGAACAGTTAGGCATTAAACTCTATTTGATTTTTTTTCTCTCTTCTTTACAATTGCCACTCCCATGCAGTATTATTTAGGTTTTGCCATATATCTATTTTAGTGAGAAAATTACATATAGATGCTTTGTTTCAATTCAAATATTTAGCCCCAAATCTTATCTGAACTAAAAGTTTACAGATATATTAGTAGAAATACCGTTTTGGGAGAACTTATATGCCCCCCCCCCCCATCCCCCATATTCCTTGAACCGTCCATTTTTCGGGCAGTGTGTAACAGTTTTTCGGGCACAAGCATCAGAGAATGGGGAATGCGGCCATAATTGTATAATTGTGTAATTAATTAAAAATAAACAACCATCACAGCTTTGTGGAAAATTCATTTTAGTTAATGATTGATTACTCAGAAAATTACCCTTTTCTCCAGGTTGTTGCACGCAAGTAACTATTCTATTAAAAACAAAAAGGCTTGAATTTAACATAGAAGTGAGTAGAAGTAAGACTTCTAGAACGTAGACTTTCAGAAGAAGAAAACCCTGCTATGCTCTATACTGTTCCCAGGGTTAAGAGACCCGCGGTTGCGAGGGTAGCGATGGATAACTGAACAGTCGATCTTTATTTCAAGTCCATCTCATGTGTGTAGTATCTATGACATATTAGGTAATTAGAAAAACGACGGGATAGATTTTTATGTATACCCTTTCCTTGTGCCCCTTATCCATCAAATAATTCATTGCTATGGCCAGTTGAAACAAGCGGTTGCTATGCAAGATATGCCCACATTTTGTAAGAAATTGACGGGGAAGAGGTTAAATCAAAAGGGCTATCCTATCATTCAAGATCATTGGATCCTTAACATATTTAAGGTTCATCAGAATGGGACAACAATGGTAGCCCCCCCCCCACATGGAGTGCCTACAAAATCCGTACATATTTCAGATTTTGCGTGAAAAGCAGGGGCTATAGCTCTAGAATATAAGGTCTGATGCTACCAAAGTCGAACTGATCCAAGAACTTTTGATCCTTAACACACAGTTGAAGTTCATAGTGAAAGGTACACAAACTTCATTTATATACTATTCAAAAAAAGTAGGGGATATTTGATTTTGGGGGCATAATACTAAAATATGCAAATGACTACGAAAAAAGTCACTATAGAACCTAACAGAAGAAACATTTCCAGTAACATGTGACGCCCAAACGCACCAATAGCTACCGCATGGAATGCAGGTGATGCTTGGGATCATCATGGGGGTCCAACCCAAGATTTGCACGACTCTGACTTTGAATGTTACAGTCATTGTGGCAT